AAGTTTCCCCCCCACACATACTCACACCCGAAGTCACTCCCCACTAATCCTACACCCTAAGGAGAAGCGGGCCCCTTGGAGACCAAGAGAAGTCCAGGGACCTGTACTTTTAAAACAACAAAGGAATGGTATTATACTTTAAATGTTCGTTTATTTAACACATATAAATATTGCAAGAAAATGCCAAATACCAGGTAAATTCAGATTTTTATTTTGAAAAGAATTCAGCGTGTAGCATGAGCTATGTGGTGGCAGGAGGGCGTTTGCTCAGAGTTGGAGGAGGAAGCTTGCTGCTTCCATCTCTGTCGTTATACTGACTGGAGGTCGATGCCATTCTGGAGTCCACATTGGAGGGGCCTTCCTGTTCTCAGGGAAGAAGCATGCTTCCCAACAAGTCATTCATATGTTTTTCCTCTCTGGATCTACAGATACTAAAATATGACATTCTCACGAAGTCCTCCTTGAATTGGGGAGAGGAGCACTGCTGGCCGGGGGAACCCCTGTTTGTGCCCACGCCAGGTGCCAGAGACGAGGATGATGGTAAGACTCCGGGAAGGGGAGCCTGCCCACTGTACTCTGCTTGTGATCACCCCTCAAACAGAGACGTCACTCGGGGGCAGAGACCCCGCCCACATCACACAGCTGGTGGAGCCCTGCTTTGAAACCCAGGTCTGTCTGAGTCCAGAGCTGCAGGGTTAGGGCGTCCCCAAGACTATCCATACCTCTGACATCAACTGCAAGTTTAAAGGTCCTCAAGGCCAACCTCAATTTCAGTAGGAGTCACAGAACACACGGAAAACTGTTATACTCATGGTTACGGTTTATCACAGTGAAAGGATGCAGACTGAAAGAGAAGAGGCACATGGGACAGCACCCAGGAGCGTTCCAGGTGTGGTGTTTCCATCTGTCCTCTCCCTGGGGAGTCATGGACCACACCACCTTCTCCCAACAATATCCATGGAGTATCGCCAACCAGGGAAGCCCACCCAAGCCTCGGTATCAGAGCCTGTTAGGGGGCTTGGTCATGTAGCCATGGTTGACCTTTAGTCTGTAGCCCCTCTGGAGGTCACAGCTGCCACCGTGTGACCCAAAGACCCCATCAAAATCACTGTGTGTAGATAGGTTGTCTGGCTGACCCCAGGTAAGCAAGGACACTCTCATCAGGCATTCGCAGGACTTATAAGTCACCTCCTAGCAGCAAATGTCAGATCTCCCTTTAAGGAGGTTAAATTGTTCACTATGGGAAAGCCCACTTCCTTTTTACTGAGCAACACTACCCTCTTCCAGAGAGGAGAATCTTGGTTTGAACATTCATTTGCATGGCTGGGTCAGAGTTTTTCACTGTCTAAG